GTGAATGGAGTGCTGGCCACTGGGGTGCGTGCTGCTGCTCTCCAGCAGGAACGTTGCCCTGGTAAGGACCTGCTCTCATCCCAAAGTCTGTTGCGATGGAACTGTGACTGTGACAGTCCAAGTGGCACCAGGAGGACGGGGGGAGGATCTCCCTTCTCTGGATGCTGCCCGGGTGGATGCTGGTGGGACAGAGTCTGTGCTGAAAGCTAAGCTTCTTGCTGTGCCTCTGGGGAGTGGTGATGGGTTGGGAGGACTTGGGCATCTGTTAGGAGTGTAGCTCCCTAGAGCTATGGGATGAGCTCAGACACAAGTTTGGTTTGTAAACTCCTACTTTGTGTGTGCCCTGAAAGCCTTTAAGGGATTCTCAGCTGTTTAAAGGTGTTGAAAGTGGAGTGTGCTGTGGATTCATGTGCCTGGCAGACTCCTCTGGAGACCTTCCATCTGTCCTAATGGTCGTCCTCATATTTGGGTCCTGTGGGGAGCTGTTTCCATGAAGATACTGCTCTTCTTTCTCCTTGCTGCCGTTAGCCAGCTCCTTTCACTTGGATGTGCTGTCTGTGTACCCTCATCTTTAAAGGAGCACAATCCTTTGTGCTGCTCTGTGTCTCAGGCAAGGTCTCTCTGGAAAGATTGGTTCTGCTGCCCCTACATCTTCTGGTGTCTCAACTCTTAAGTTTTGATTAATTGCCTTCTATTTCTGCCTGCTGGGGAGGAGCAACGCCATCGAGCTGTGTTACCACACAGATTGCTGCAGGAAAAGCAGCTCCCAAGGAAGGTTCTGCTGCCTGACAGCGCCCAGGACTGAGGCGATCTGCTGAAAGGTGGCTGGTGCTCTCAACACGCCTTTGTTTCTTCTTTTCTTCTCATGTACTGGTCCGTGTGACCAGATGTAAAATGGAACATCCTTCTCTAGTAAAAGTAAGGTATTTGGTGTTTTATACATTAACTAGTTCTTGGAGCAGTAGGATACAGTTCCTATTTTCTATGTAAGCAAAGGAATGCAGTTTTGTCACCTTACTTGGTGCTGAGGCACAGAGAAGCTGTGGCTGCCCCATCCCTGGCAGTGTTCAAGGTCAGGTTGGACACAGGGGCTTGGAGCAAGCTGCTCTAGTGAAGGTGTCTCTGCCCATGGTAGGGGATTGGAACTGGATGAGCTTTGAGGTCCCTTCTAACCCAAACCAGTCTGGGATTCTATTTGTCCTGCCATGCATCACCTGCTAGTTAGAGAGCTTGAGCTGACTGATGGAACTCACCTTCCAGTAGCTCTTCAGATAGCTCAGGATGAGTTCTGTGAGAACTTGCAGTGTTTGTAAGACCCATGTTATGCTTTGGGTTCTGCCTCTCGATGCTGTGTGTGTATGAGCCTTTGGGCCATGGTGGGGCCTGCCCCAGGCTCTCTTGCAGTGTCTGTGGCCAGAGCCCTGTAGCTCCCATGGGACCTGCTGTGTTGGTGTTGTTTCTTGCCCCGGGCATGACTAGGTTAAGGCAGCAGAATATGTAGCTTAGGACAAGGCTGTTTCATTCCCAGTTTAGCTGTTCCTGTTTCCTTTCCTTCTGTCCTGCCTCTGATACGCTTCTGTGTCTGATGATGCAGTGTTTGTCCTGTCTTATCTACTCGGCCAAGGGCTGCAAAGCTTCCCATCGGCCAGCCAGGCTGCAGCAGCAGGAGGGAAATACCCAGCCTTTGCTAGAGGTTCCTCTGTTCCCCTGGAGGGGACCTGGGAAGCTTTGATCCCTCAGCCCGTGGTGGCAGCTCTCTTGCCAGTGCCGCTCCCGTTCTGCACCTCCCTTTTGAGCTGCACACCCTGGTTTAGGTGCAGCATTTTCAGCCTCTGCTGAGAAAGGCCACAGTAGAGCCGGTGCAGCTTTGCTGTAGGGTGGGGAATTGGGGTATGTGTCTGGCAGCCTTAGATGGGGCACTAGAGGACGTGCCAACAGCCTCCTAGCAGCAGCGCAGGTTGTACCTGCTCTCATGGGCTCTCACAGGCTTTCACCACCCAGCTGTGACTGTGAGGCCCTTGGGGGCTGTCTCGGAAACCTTGCAGAAACCAGTGCCAGTTTTTACCAGCAAAGAAAAGCCAACGTTTCCTTGTCGAGCAGCCCTTGTGTAACACGGGTGACTCAGGTGGATGTTATGTGGTACCACAGCAGGCATCTGGGGAAATCCCACCTGAGAGCAGAACTAGGGCAGAGCTGGGGCTGCGGCAGGCAGAGCAGCAGGTCCCCGTGTGCCCACCCACCCTGTCTTTCCAGGCTGAAGAAGCACAACTGAGGGGGGTTATGATGCTGCAGAGAGGGCAGGAAACTGCCTGCCCCAGCCCAGAATGACTCACGCAGCAAAGTGGTCTCATCCTGACGCTTTGCCCTGCGGCAGCCAAGGGGAAGTCTTCACCTTCAATAGCAGCAGTTGAACAAGGACTTGATGCTGTGCTGGCTCCCAGTCCTAGTGTCTGGAAAGAAACGAGAAGCCCAGAGGATGGATCTGCTGAAGGTGCTGACCCCCTTACCAAGCCCACACCACCCCTGCCTGGCCAGGGAATGCCCCTGCCCTGGAGCTGCTGCAGGCAGGGCCTGCGAGGCTCGGGGTAACAGGAGCAGGATGAGCCCCTGGCCAGGACAGAAGCCTCTGCTGCTCAAGGAAGGGCCTCGGGAGCTGGTGTCAAGCTCCAGGGTGCAGCCGGGGCAGGTCTGAGCCGTGTTGCAAGTGCCAAGAGGGAAGTGAGTCACATGGAGCGAGCGGCACCCTCCTTCCGCACGAGCCTGCTCCTGGGCAGAGGCTCCGGTGGCTCCGCTTGCGGAGCGGGTGCTGTGTCCCCAAGGTAAGAGACTTCTTCCCCTTTGCTTGCTCTCCCTCCCCGTGCTCCACAGGCTCCTTCTGCTCCTCGGTGTCTCAGGACATGAGCAGGCTGCACGTCCCTCCTGGATCCGTCAGAGCCATCTCGTGGTCCCCGTTGGGGTGCGCTGGGAGGATGCGTGTGTGCTCACTCCCCGCGCTCAGGAAGCGGGGATGAGTCAGGCTGGCACTACCATTGCCTTTGGGGCTGTGTGGATGGGGACTGCCCTCATCAAGGTCCCATCTCACCATGCTGGGTGGCAAGAACAGCTTTGGACACTGCAGAGTGGGGTGAGGAGCCCTGCTTTAGACCTTCAGGCAATGCTCGGAGCCTCTCCAGGAGCCCTCATCCTGCTCGTGCATGGCCCTGGTCAGGCAGGTACCTTACCCCTCTGCCAGGAGGTAACTTGCAGCGGGAGCAGTGCCCTGGCCATGGGGGCTTCATGAAGCCTTTCTCCTCCAGCAGAGCCACCACAGCCGGGGCTGTGAACACAAGTCCTGATGCAGTGGTCCATGGAGCTCACCTTCTGCCCTGTGCAGCGCGGCTGCCAAAGCCAGCCCAGCTCCAGCTGTGCTGTTCCCTGCAGTTCAGGGGGGATGGCACTGTTCACAGCCTTTCCCCATTGCCGTGGCTCTGGAAGTGCAGAATCTGGGCCCTCTTCAGCTTTTCATGTTTTCAATGCAAGAGCTGAAAATGGAGCTGAAGAGGAAGGGAACTCCCCCAGCATTAAGAGGTGGACAAGTGCAAAGCGTGGCAAGAGGCTGGTGTACACAACGCAGGGGCTGTTCTGGGTGCTTCCGTGCATCTCAATAGCTTGAGGCCTCGCTGAGCATTGGAGGCAAAGGTGGAGAATGAGTAAGTTTGGGGAGCAGCGAGGGGGCACTGGGGAGCACCGTCCCGGTCCCGGGGCGAGGTGTCCTGCCTGCAGTGGGAGTGCTTGATTCAGAAAGCAGAGCTTGTGAAAGCACCAGTGAGAGCTTCCAGCCCTGAGGGGTCCATCAGCACCGAGCCTGCCTGGTCCCTGCTGGTGGCTCTGTGGGGTTTACAACAGCTCCCCTGTGCTGGCCGTGGGTAACGTGCGTGGGCCCTGCCCGGCGGAGCTGTCACGGGGCTGAGCAGAGGAAGGATGGACATTTCTGATGGGAGCTCCAACCCAGCCCCAGGGCTTTCATTTCCTCTAAGCACTTGGCTGCAGCAGGACAGGAGCTTTGTTTGGCCATTGCTGCAGGCTTTGCCAGCGCTCCCCTTCCCTCCTGACCTGGCTGCTGTTGACAAAGGCACAAACTGGCTGCCAGCCACCCTCATCAGCACGCTTGTGTTTTGGTTTGGACTGAAGCTCCCTGAAGCACCTGAGGCACAACTGGGGCTCTGTCCAGTCCACAAAGGTCAGGTTCCTTGGCCCATCCTTACAGCAGTTAACAGAGGAGGAGGAAAGAGGGAGGGCACCACTGACAGAGCATCCTCCTCATGAGCTGGGGACACGGGGCACTGATGGTGGGGACAAGGTGGATGGCAGCAATGCTGCTCTGCCAAGATGCTGAGGTTGGCTTGCCTGGCCTCAGGCACCTCAACACAATGGGCTGTGCAGCATCGGGGCAGCCAAAGCGGTGCTGGAAGCCACCCTCTGTCTATGCTGGGAGCTGGATGTCCCCAACCCAGCACTGCTCTGGGCTTCTCTTCCTGGGTCAGCTCCTTTCCAAAGGTGCAGCCGGACTTCCCCAGGACCATTCCAGAGCAATCTGCTGCACCAAGCGGGATGTCCTGCTGCTCCAGGCCCGGAACACCCAGAGGGGCACGGGCACCACAGCCCTGAGCTGCTGCAGGGTCACCCTTGTACCCCACAGCAGCAGCAGTGTGGGGTGTCCAAGGGGGTCGGGAGCCACTTGAGCTGAGCAGGACCCAACCTCCCCCAGCACGAGGCAGCTGCAGTGACAGCACCAGCGCTGTGTGGTGGGAGACCCTGCACTGCCTGCACTGGCTGTATGGAGCTGGGGACCAGGGGACAGCCAGGCTTTGGCTCTGTCAGGCCACGCTGGGGGGACCTGAAGGGTGAGATGAGGCTCCTGCAGTGATTATAGGTCTGTGTGGTGTCTTGGTGTCTGCTCAAGGTCCCAGAGATAAAAAAGGGACTTGGGATGGCTGGATCCTGGGTCTGTTTAGCTCCAGCACAAGTGTGAGTGAGACTCTGCTAGGGAATGGCTCTGTCCATGGGATGTATGAGTTTCCTGGCACTTCCTTTCCTCGAAGTTACTAAGTGAAAGCTCCCGGCTTCTGTCATTCATAGGCTGGAAGGATGCTCAGATGCTGTCTAATCCCAGATCTAACCAGGGACACAAAGTGGATTCCTATTCTGCCTTTAGGAGGAAAATCCCAACTTTGCCCTCTTCTAGGATCACGAGAAGCAGCGGTACTTGGAGGAAGCAGCTTTAAGGGCTTTCCAGATCTTTGCTGCGGTTAATTGCCTTTCCTCTACGGCCTATTTTATTTCTCATTTCCTTTGAGCTGATGTCACCCGTTTCCTCTTCTCTAGTGACTCTGCAGTCAGGCTGCAGTTGCTCCCGTTCTTGGTGTCCTGTTCTTGAGAGCTGCCTGCGTGGAGACCTTCCAGCCCCAGGTCAGAGAAAATAATGCTTGGAAGAAGATCAAGCATCTTCAGTAAAACACCCATCACCGCTCTACTGAAGCTGAAGATGGACAAATCGTGCTGAAGCCTTTCGACTCTGGTAAGCACAAAACCACACTTCATTAGTATAACTCCTCTTGGAATATACTATTGCTGATGGCATAGCTTGTGTTAGCGTGGGTTTTGCACTCTGCAGCCATAAGCTTATAAATCCTCATCGGGAGAGCATGGCCCAGGGTGCAGACTGGGCGCAGAGTCCGCTCCTGGAACCTCTGGTTCTGCATAGAGTGGAGATGATGCTATAAACCACTTGGGATTACCAGCTGGGGTACTGGGGTACTGGTAGTGGCTTGGGCTTGGCTTGGGTTTAGGCTCAAGTTTCCAGGGATTTGGGTAAGGCAGCAGCACTGGCTGCTGCAGCAGAGCACAGGACCCCCACCTTCCAGCCCCACTCTAACCACTGCACCCCTCCTCCTTTCTGCTGGCATGGACAATATTGACCTGCTTTATTCAAAGGGAGAGGCTGAGTGAGATGCCCCAGACCATGCTCCAGTGTCTAGGGTTTAGGACAGCTCACAAGTACATGGGACACGTAAGCCTGAGGTCCTCCGACTGAAGAGGGAAGTGGGAATTGAGTACATTTAGGGGAATGGTGCCACACTCTCTTCTAGCTGCATTCTGTTGAGTATCTGGCTTAAAGCAGGAAGGGAAAAACAACACTCCCGTGATTCCCTGGAGGACCTTGGCACTGGCACTGCACAGCCGCTGCTGCAAACCTGATGAGCTCTACCAAGTGCTGTTGTGGCCAGGAGACACCACGGCCGTCTCCCACAGCCCACCTCTGCCAGAGATTTCTGTCAGACTTAAAACCAGAGCACGTCCTTGCATTCATCTCATGCAGCCCCATAGCTCAAACCCACCTGCAGTGCAGGGCTTGCTTTTCGCTCTCCAGGCCACAGGGTTTCAAACACAGAGCTCCCCATTAGCTTCTCCTACCCCTGCACGGCCTCACCCCCTCCCTGAATGTCTGCATCTGGTAGGTGCCATCCCAAGCTCAGAGATGCAAACCCTTCTTTACCTTAGATGGTCCCGCAGTGGGTGGGAGAGTTGGGCTTAGACACTGACATTCATTTAAGGCCATGTTGTGACAATGACTTTTCCTATCCAGATGAGGGTGTGGAAACATCCATGAGATGACCAGTAGGACCTGCCTTGGGTCCTGTGTGAATCAAAGGCAGAGCAGGGAATGGAGGTGGTCCCCTGCCTCCTCTGGGACCTCTCCTCAGGGATGTGCCAGACCTGTGTGGCCAGACCCCGAGGTGTCATAGCTCAGAGCATCCTCACCTCCTGGGTACCACCCCCAGTTGGCTACTGCCCTCTAGATGTCTCAGCAAGGTGGGAGAGGACAAACACATCTGTCCCCTGGCCAACCACTGGCACTGTCACACCTACTTATTAATTCACAGGGAACCTGCCTCAAAGATTAAAGGCACCCAAACCCCAGTGCTGCCTGAAGGTCCAAGAGCACGTTGTGGATATCCTGAGTTGTTCTTAGGGGACCTGTGAGGGTCAAGGAGGGACAGGCTTGGCAAGATGACTCTTGTCTTCCTCTCTTAACAAGTGGAAAGAGATAGTGAGGGGGTTGCAGAGTCTGCTGAAGAAAGGGAGAGCTTTCCTGAGCTAGAGCTGACTTCCCCATCTGCAGTGGGAAGTTGCAAATGGGGAACCAACAACACATGGACATGAGAAAGAGACTCAGCCCAGGGAGGGTGCGATGGGGGCTCATGCCACTACCGCTGGGGAAGATCCAGAGAGTTTTGAGGCAGGATGGTGCCTTCTCAGGAGGCAGCAAGTCTTTGGGAGGAAATGCTGTAGAGCTGGCAGAGCCAAGGCAAGTACATTGCAACGTGCAGCACTCCAGGAAGGAAGAGGGAGACAAAACCAAGCTGATCTGCAGGGTTGTGTCCATCAGAGGAGAGGTGAGTCCATCAGACAGGGAGTTGGCACCAGGGCCAAGAGCAGGTGTGTACATCCTCTGGATGGTGAAAGCAGCAGCTGGAACTATACAAGAGATTAGACCCAATCCATGTAAGTCTGAGCCAGGAACACATACAGGAGTGGTGAGGTAGGAATTTGGTACGTCCAAACTCAAGCAAGAGTTGAAGAAATGCCAACTGAGGTGGGGACATCTCTTTAGGGACAGTGTCTGTCAGCCTCACCAGTGACACAGGAACTGCTGCTGCTGACACTTGCATCTGCTCCAGAAACAAGGGGAAGGGAGACAAATGGGTTTGATGGCAGCTCAAAATGATGGCATGATAGATAACAGCCAGGATTTGAAGAGAGAGAAACTGTAGGAAAAATCAGTGATGTACCACAAAACACCACCCTTTAGGATTAGTAACTCATTTTGTACATCACTCAGTGAAAAAACTGGGAGGTCTGGTAGTCTATGAAGTGAATGTGAAATCATTGAGTCATAGAATGACTTTGGTTTGTGTTGAAGGGACCTTAAGGCTCCTCCAGTTCCAACCCCTGCCACGGGCAGGGACCCCTTCCACTAGAGCAGCTTGCTCCAAGCCCCTGTGTCCAACCTGGCCTTGAACACTGCCAGGGATGGGGCAGCCACAGCTTCTCTGGGCACCCTGTGCCAGTGCCTCAGCACCCTCACAGGGAAGAGCTTCTGCCTAAGAGCTCATCTCAGTCTCCCCTCTGCCAGGTTAAAGCCGTTCCCCTTGGCCTGGCTCTACAGGCCCTTGTCCAAAGCCCCTCTCCAGGTTTCTTCAAGGCCCCCTTCAGGTGCTTGCAACTAAGGAAGTACAAGTGTAAGCAGGAATATATCAGAAAACACTAGAGAGCAACTCTGGAAATGGCACTAGTTGGATGTTTTTACCAGATATTGTTTCACTTCAGGAATTTCTAGGTTAAAACAAATGTAGGCAAGTTAGAAAGCAGTAGGAACCACAGCGGGGAAACAGGACCCAGAAAACCTGTTTGCTTATAGTCAAAGATTAAGAAGCTTCAGATGGAGCAGACTAACGTGATTTAAATGATCTTATCTAAGAACCCTCAAGCAGAAAAGCCTTTTGAGATTAGACATGTGTGATCTGCGATCCTCACTGCAGCAAACAACACTGCTTGAAGAGAAAAGCTCTCCTGTGTTCTGTTGCGTGTCCTGTCACACAAGCAGGGGTCCTGGGGTCACAGAGAGCTCAAAAGGAAAGGTGGGGTTTGGCTCAGCAATGGCACCTATGAACTCATTTTATGCTGTATGTTTTCAGGTGAGAAGGGAAGCTACAGCAGGGAATTCTACTTCAAACGTGCCCGCTCAGCACCACGATGGCTGGAAAGGATAAAGGCGGTGCTGCAGGTGGTGCTGGTTCCTACATTTCCTGCTACATCGACTCAGAGTTTCGCTACAACCTCTTCACTGTTTTCTACAGCATCATTTTCATTCTGGGCTTTGCTGCCAACTGCTACGTGCTCTGGATTTTCAGCCGCATTTACCCCACCAAGAAACTCAATGAGATCAAGATATTCATGGTGAACCTGACAGTAGCTGACCTGCTCTTCTTGGTTACGATGCCAATGTGGATTGTTTACTATCACCACCGTGGAGACTGGATCATGCCCGAGTTCCTCTGTAACGTGGCTGGCACTCTATTTTTTGTGAACACCTACTCTTCTGTTGCCTTCCTGATGGTCATCACATACAACCGTTACCAAGCTGTGACTAACCCCATTAAAGCTGCTCAGTTTACCACCCAGCGAAGGGGGATCTACTTATCAGCAGCTATCTGGATTATAATCGTGGGCAGCTCTTTGTATTACCTTTTTGACAATAATACTAACAAGGAGGAGGTCAAATCTAGGAATGTCACGCGGTGCTTTGAGCACTATGACTCTTCTGGCAGTGTTTCAGCTGTTCTCGCCATCCACGTCATCATCTGCATCCTCTTCTATATCATTTTCATCTTTATACTAGGCTGGAACATCATCATTATCAGGACCCTGTTCTCCAAACCAACACAGCCACGGAAGAGTGCTCATGTCAAGCAAAGGGCACTCTGGATGGTGTGCACAGTGCTAGCTGTGTTCATCATAAGCTTTGTACCTCATCACCTGGTGCATCTGCCCTGGACCCTGACTGTTCTGGAGCAGTGGAAGAGAGAAAACTGCCAGTTGCGCCAACAGCTCAATGATGCTCACCAGGTGACTTTGTGCCTCTTGAGTACAAACTGTGTGTTGGACCCTATCATTTACTGCTTCCTCACCAAGAAGTTCCAGAAGCATCTTTCAGAAAAACTGAAAAGCATGAAAGGGAGTCGCAAGTGCTCCAGGCAAACCACAGACACAGTGATTGAGGGCACCATTCACCAGGAGGATGCCATTGGGATCTAGCTCAGCCCTGCTCCGACTGCAGATTGAGATGTGTGAGTGAGTCACCCATCTTTTCTCAAGGAGAGGCACTGAGGGACACAGCAGAGCAGCAGGATCTTACATTTCCTTTTTCCCATTAGACAGAAGAATGGATGCTCATTTCTTCTATCACATGCAACTGGCAGAACTGGAGCCTGCAGCAGTCTGGCAGAAAAGCACCTTCTGTCTGGGCTGATGTTCTCATGGGCACCCAGAACAGTTCACATGGTCTGCTTTTATGTGAGAGAAATGTGTCACCAGGTCTGTGCGCTGAGCAGGTAGAAGCTGAGTGCACTGAAATCCCCCCAGCACCGTCCCTGGTCCTCTGCCTGCCCAGCTCCCATGAAGAATCCAGCATCAGAGACTCCTAAAAGACCTGGAAGAACAGAGCTGCTCATCTCGAGTGACTTTTGTAAGCACGGTTCTGTGAAGAGAGTCTGAGCTGTTCTTGAGTGCCTAGAGGGGTTGTAGTCCAAAGAGTTCCTCAAATGCCTTCAAAGAAGAGATCTGCACCTCTGATCCCTTCTTGCCTACTTGCATGGTCTGGTGGGGCCCAGACCTGACGTGCCTGGCAGGAGCTATCACAGACTTTTGCCTCTGCTCCCAGCTCTTGGATCAGTTTAGTAACCCCAGGCTGACTGCATGTGTCCGTGGAAATCCAGTCTCACTTTGGAGGCTCTAGATAACAGAAGGTTATTGTCAGCATGGGCATTATGCTAAGAACAGCTTAAAATGCTTCAATATCTTTGTTCTTGTTTATTTTGATTAGGGCTGTAGCAAGCAACTTTGCCTTAATCCTTCCCCCCAGTCTTTCTATTGCTGCTGTGAAGAAATGAAGCTGAGTAGTTCTTGAGATGCTACCACAAGTGAAGTACCAGGTCATGGCCACCTTCTGAGTGCATCAGAGCTGTGCAGTGATACAGCACACATGACACACACGTAACTCATGTACTCTGACAAGGCTGGAGACCCCTCGCTCAGGGCTGCCTGCAGTCAGTTGGGGCAAAGTGGTTTTCCAAGGGTGCTGAGTTCAGTTACCAATCATGAGACACTGCAGGTTCTTTTTCTAACCCAAATTGCTCAATCCAGCACAGGAAATTGGGCAAGGACGGGAACTTACGTGTTTGCACAACAGTTTTTGGTTCCCTAAACTACAGCAGAGAGTCTGTTTGATGACAGGAGAAGTGCATTGACCTGTGGCACGGATTAATCACGGGCAAGGACAGCAGCCTGCCCACACACACCAGAGAATGTGAAAGATAAGCCCCAGTCTTTCCAAAGATAGATAGGACTAACATCTGTATGAGGCCTTGCCTACATTCAGTGGAGATACGAGTCCTTCAGAGGCATCTCCTGAAGATCCTCAGGCAGCTTATGCTGTCCTGTGCCAACAGGCAAAGGAAATGAGATGATTCTTCCTCTAATGCCATGTGCCAGGGCCAGCCAGGCACTCGAGACCCAGTGCCAGGCAGAGGAAAGAATCCGATCACACTGGATTCCAATGGCAATTCCAATTGGATGCCACAATTTGATCCAATTGCATTTCCCTCCTGGCCCTGGACCCTGCTCCAGTAATGGTCACCCATAAAGATGCCCGGCTGGCACCTCTTGGCAGAGGGAGAACTCCTTGACCGTGCCCCTCAGCCACGAGCAAAGCTTTGCCCTGCATGTGCAGCCATCCGAGCCACGGCACACAGCAAGGGGAATGATTCCTGGAATTCAAATCCCAATTCCTGCTTGCTAAAGGAACCTACCTCTGGATTTCTGCCCTCCCTGGGTAGCACCTTCTGCCTGAGGAGCTCCTGTAGTGGCAGAGGAGGAGCTTTGGAGCGCTCCTCTCCTCCCTTTGCCAGCCGGTGAGCCAGCCGAGCGCGCCTGCTGCACAGCCCCCAGAGCACCGAACAGATGGAGCCTGGCAGGGCTTGGAGGAGATAGGAAGGGATTTTACGTGGGGATCTGGTAAATACGAGATCTTCTGTTCATTCCTGGAAAGCCTGGAACAGAGCTTGCAGCTTAGCTTGCTCGCCGGGGGTAAACAGCATGCTGCACTCCCCAGAAAACAGCTGTGAGGCCAGCGGGGGCTCAGAGAACAAATATAAACCTGTATCGGAGGAAAAGGGTAAGTGGGAGGAAGAAGCCCTGAGGATGCTTCAGGAGATGTGCAGTAATGCGTTCCTAAACACCAGCCTGAGCTTCTGCTTCCGTTCCTGGAATCCCTGTCGGTTTTACCGCGCTGTTGCATGGCTCTGCTTTACCTTGCAATAAAATGGATCCTCAGAAGTTCTTTTAAATAAAGCGTGGTCCTCAAGCGTTTTGTCCTTTAACTTCTCATCTTTCTGCGTTTATACCCAAGGGATGAGCCTTGGTACCGCGCTGCATCCCCAGTGTGAGCAGCAGCGTGCTCTGGGGTGACCCCCCTGCAGTCCTGGTCCGGCTCTGGGGCAACAGCACAAGAGGGACATGGAGCTGTTGGAGCAAGGCCAGAGGAGGCCATGGAGATGCTGCGAGGGCTGGAGCAGCTCTGCTCTGGAGCCAGGCTGAGAGAGCTGGGCTGGGTCAGCCTGGGGAAGAGAAGGCTCCTGAAGGGGAGACCTGAGAGCAGCTCCAGTGCCTGAAGGGGTGCAGGAAACATGGAGAGGGGCTTTGGACAAGGGCCTGTAGGGCCAGGCCAAGGGGAATGGCTTTAACCTGCCAGAGGGGAGACTGAGATGAGCTCTTAGGCAGAAGCTCTTCCCTGTGAGGGTGCTGAGGCGCTGGCCCAGGGTGCCCAGAGAAGCTGTGGCTGCCCCATCCCTGCCGCTGTGCAGTGACTGTTTTAAGGCTTTTCTGCTTGAGGGTTCTTAGATAAGATCATTTAAATCACGTTAGTCTGCTGCACCTGGAGCTTCTTAGACTATAAGCAAACAGGTTTTCTGGGTCCTGTTTCCCCGCTGTGGTTCCTACTGCTTTCTAACTTGCCTACATTTGTTTTAACCTAGACATTCCTGAAGTAAAACAGTATCTGGTAAAAACATCCCACCAGTGCCATTTTTGAAAGCACCTGAAGGGGGTCTTGAAGAAGCCTTGAGGGGCTTTGAGCAAGGGGAATGGCTTTAACCTGCCCGAGGTGAGACTGAGGTGAGCTCTGAGGCAGAAGCTCTTCCCTGTGAGGGTGCTGAGGCGCTGGCCCAGGGTGCCCAGAGCAGCAGTGTCCGCCCCATCCCTGCTTTAAGTGACCCCAACAGCGCTGAGGCAGCAACCGCAGCCCCAACCCCATCGAAGCGCCCGACCCCGAGCCCAGCACGGACGAAGCCCCCTCAGCTCCGCGCCCCGCGGGCCGGCTCGTCACTTCCGCGGCCGAGCGCTGCTTCCGGGCGGCGCTGAGGAGAGGGAGGGGCTGCCATGTCCGCTGCGGGACGCGCTGCCGGGCCCGGCGCCGGAGCCGCCTCTCGGTAAGAGCCCGCCCCGAGCACGGTTGTCCCCGTGGGCGACGAGATGGGGCCCGCGGGCCGGTGGCCCGCGGGCCCCATCTCGCCGCCCACGGGGACTCGCGGGGACCACGCGTGTGCGGAGTGGACGCTCCCGCCCGCGGGCCTGTGGAGCCGATGAGGCCGCAGCGCAGCCGACCCCCGCTTCCCTGCCCGCCTCCCGCTGGTGCCGGTGGCCCAGCCGCTGGTGAGAGACAGCCATGAGGTGCAGAAAGAGCCCCTTGGCGGTGATGAGGGGATGCTTGTGCCCGGGATAAAGAGCTCGGCCTGGGCCCCCCTCCCCGTGGGGTTGTGGGGAGCCCCACTCAAACCGAGCAAGAAAGCGTTTAAACATCTGCAGTGGTTAGTGTTGGATGGGGCTGGTTGCTTGTACCGGAGGTTGTGCATACAAGTTCGAGAGGAGGTGTTTGGTCTGGGTAGAGTCGTGACCAGTTGGGCTTCACAACGTGTGTTGGACCCAGATGAACTCTCCTGGATGCTCCTGGTTCTGGGAATGCTGTGCAGAGCTGCTGAAGCTTCGTGTGAAGGCAGCTCAAGCGCAGTATGGCTTATTTGGTTTGTACTCTGCATGGTATGGCTAAATCGTTTCCAGACGGGAGCTAGTTCTTGGTGTGCCATAGCTGTGGTAATTCACAGAATCAACAGAGCGGTTGGAAAAGACCTTAGGATCATTCAGTTCCAACCCCCTGCCACAGCCAGGGACACCTCACCTAAACCATGACCCCCAAGGCTCTGTGCATCCTGGCCTTGAATGCTGCCAGGGATGGAGCATTCACCCCTGGCAGTGTTCAAGGAGGTGAACGTTCATTCAGATGGAGCATTGTACAGAAAAGTCCTGGTGGACTTTGCTTTCGCTATGGAGCTAAGCTCTGCTTCTGTGAGGCACTCAGTCGGTAGTGTAATAACTTCCAGCTGGTAATTAAAAGCCAACTATACTGATTAAGATAAGATTCCTGTGATTACTGTGATCTGCCTGTGTTGTGTGGTTTCCTTCAGCTTTGTCTGTTGCAGATTATCTTAAGTTCATGATACTGAGTGAGGTTTGTTGAGAATCACAGCAATTCACATGCCTCCAGTCACTGTTTTTGTAATAGCTACTTATAAAAGTGCATATAAAGATAGTGGCTTCCTGCAAAACTGCTGACCTCTGAGCCTGTACCTGTCATGTTTAGGGGTTCCATTTATCACCTTGTGGTGCGATACTTCTTGCTTGTGCAGTTCTGCAGTCTCATTTTTGCCAGGCAAGCAGCAATACGCAGGCACCGTCTGTGTCCAGCAGCCAGCAGAGGTGAAGGTGTCACTGTTTACAAGCCACCTGGATTGTTCTACAGAGTCTTCCTGCAGCGTTTGCCTCCTCCTTGGCTCTTCCATGCAACCCCAGCAGTAGTTGTGGCACCTCAATGACTATTGGGTTGTGCAACAAATGGGATTGAAAACCCCAGTCACCTGCCCATCACAACTGTGTGCAAGAGCTGTAATAATTCCTGAGTAATTGGTGACTTGGGAAGGACTTACAGCTTCTCAGAACTTTGCTCTTTAAATATCCAGACGTTGAATGTGTTTGGAATTCAATATGTTGGAGTACACTTTATTAAATGGGTTTCCTTGTAGTGGGTTGGACTACCTCTAAATATCCAGATGTTGAATGGGTTTGGAATTGAATATGTTGGAGTACACTTTATTAAACGGGTTTCCATGTAATGGGTTGGACTACCTCTATGGCAGTTTAATGTATGATTTCCTAACTTTTGTGTACCAAAGGGTAGTTATATATGACTAAACATAAAACTGGATAAACTATACTGCAATGTTTCAATTGAATTAAGAGCCTGGCAAGTGTGTTCCCCTGTGCAAGTCATGGTGTGCCTGAAGATTCAAAGCTTAAAGCAGATGATCAGTTGAGACCAGCCTACAGGAGCTGTCCACATCCCAGGAGCTTCTTCTGAGGTCTTGAAATTTGTGTTGCTTTTGTTTAGATGCTGACAGTGCTGTTCCTCTGAGAGTCCTTAACTGGAACACAGCATAAAGTAGATGGCAGCTCTAAACCTTGGGGGATGGTTCATATTTCTATAACTATCATACCATCACCTGTACGTCCATTCTGAAGATCCTACAAATCAGTCTCATATTAATGTCCTTTCTGTGACAGGTTTTTTTCTATTCTATTTGAGAGAGTTTAAGAAAATCTTCATTAAACATGATTGATTTTTAAGATGATCAGGACAGGAAAATGCTTATTCTGGACCAGGATCATTTGAAAAAGGAGGTGATTGTTCTTCGGAGCTGAAATTAGAGCAGCAGCTGTCCTCAGAACCACGTGGAGGTATTCTCAGTCACCAGTGTCCCACCAGTTTCTTCATGCTGCTTTCCTGGTAAAGGCACCATTGTTCTCCTCTACCTATTGGGGAAGATGCTGTCACAGAAAACAACCCTGCTGGTTCAAGGCTTTGAAGTTTAACACAGAAGTCTGGTCCCCTTTGCAGTCTGATGTTTTGTTCCATGCCTTTAGAATAGCTCTTGAGATTTCAGAAGCTGTTGCCTTGATTATACTGTGTACTTAAACCCCCGTTTCCTGTCCATTGAGAACTTCTGGGGTGTCAGGAGTGGAGCTGGCCTTTCTACAAGATGAAGGGACTCGGAGATAACTTTTTTCTTCGTTATCTTGAAGTGTTACCTTGGTACTCTGCAGAACTACAAAGACACCTGAGGTTTAATGCTTTCCTACCGTAGTATTTTGTCTTTTGTTAGCTCTCATGCCAAGCCTGCTGCTACATTAACCTTTCTGGATATGAGGAAAAATGAATTCTTCTGGCTTAAAGAAAAGGAAGTTACAAAATACTCACTTTTGCCTGACCTGAAGAAAGCAAAAAAAGTCCCCATGAGTCAATGGTACCACTGCTCTCAGCATTTCCAAACAAGATAGCAAAAGTAGTTTGACAGTTCTGTGAAATGTTAACCTGTGCAGTGGCTTTCCAGGAACTAAATAATTCAACTTTATGCTGAAGAAAAAACAGCACCAAGCTGTTGAGGAAGTTTCTGTGATCTTTGAGTGAAATGACCTTTTTCTATGGATGCTGTTCTAAAAAGCACACGTAACTGGTCTTTACTGAAAGCGTTCTTGCTGAACTGCCACCAGAATCCAGTGTGTGTCATGCAGCTCCTTTTTACAGTTGATGGTAAAGCCTGAAGCAAGGAAGGCACTGGATACCTCCACCTTTCCAGTGTCCTTAGCCAGTATGTCACCTTCCATAGAATCATGGAATGGTTTGGGTTGGAAAGGACCTTAAGGCTCATCCAGTTCCAGCCCCCTGCCTCTGGCAGGGACACCTTCCACTAGAGCAGCTTGCTCCAAGCCCCTGTGTCCAACCTGGCCTTGAACACTGCCAGGGATGGGGCAGTCACAGCTTCTCTGGGCACCCTGTGCCAGCACCTCAGCACCCTCGGAGTAAAGGCTATAGTATGTGCAGCTCTGGTCAATGTGTCTCAAGAGGGAGCAGAGAGAGGCAGAACAGTGACCGTAGGGGATGGAGCAGATGTCTTCTGGAGGGGTGTTGGAAGTTGGGACTCTGATTTGGAGAGAGATTGTAACCAAGGTGTACAAAATCCTGGAGGCAGGGGATGTGCTGAGAGCAGAGCTGCTCGCCCAATCCTGCTGTACCAGGACTGATGGCACTCAGAAACTCACTGGAGACGGCTGTGAGCCAGCCACGTTCTCCTTGTGACAGGTCATGAACTGCCCTGGGTGGCTGTGGGAGCTTCAGAGAGGGAGTGGACGGTGGGGAACAGGTCTGTGAGTGAGTGCTGGAGGACAAGCAGGGATGTGGCTCCCGGTTGGGGGGGTGGTGGCCAGGCTCCCTTTATCACCACTGGTGGCTTTTCCTGGAGGGACCATTTGTCTGCCCAGCGCTCCCGGCTGGCTCTGCCAGCAGGACTGATGCGGTGTGAAGCAAATGGTGCAGTCAGTCTGCTTGATGAAAAAGCAGCGGGTGTTAGCAAGCAGCTGAGCATCAAACACCAGCATTTAAACCGGGTTTTAAACCCAGTAAAATATCTCAAATATCCAGCACTTCATTCTTTAATTTTTCGAGCAGGTTACTCTAGCAACTGTTGTTGCTAAGACACAAATAGCTACAGATGTGCTCAGAACTGATGGCACTGTGATAAATACCATGGCTCCTCTAATGCAAAATAACAAATTTGCTGGAGTCACAACCTTTTTAATAAAATCCTGGTGCAGGTTGAGAAACTGAAGCAGTTTCTCTGCTAGAACTGTGGATTAATTTCCTGGTACTATTTACATGACTTTTTGATATGTATTTAGGGTGCTGAGGCGCTGGCACAGGGTGCCCAGAGAAGCTGTGGCTGCCCCATCCCTGGCAGCGCTCAAGGCCAGGTTGGACTGGGGAGCAAGCTGCTGTAGTGGAAGGTGACCCTGCCCATGGCAGGGTTTGGAACTGGATGAGCTTTAAGGTTCTTTCCAACCCAAACCAGGCTGGGATGCTATGATGGAGTTTTCTACTTTGCTTCCATTTGCATAAATTCCTGTGATGTGTTTTGTAGCTAGAAGGTTAATGGCAGTTTGTGCCATATTAGCTCTAGCTAGAAGAGATTGCTGACTTCTTTCTGGGCTCAGTGGGAGTTGTTTTTCTCAAGTATGAAGTTGTTATTTCCAAATCTTCCTTTTGTGCAAACAGTTCTTTTCCCCATTAAAAAAATCCCTGCTGTGATTCAAAATCCAATTGAAAAGGATTGTGTAAGGACTGGGCAGCCAGTGCATGGTCTATGTGAAGCGACTGCCCAGAGCCGTGCTGGTGACAGCCCTTCAAGGATTCCTATTAATGAAACAGGCATTGCTTAGGGTAGGATGTATTTGTGCTACCACATGTTATGTCAGTAATTTTCTCACTTTATAAATACTTTTTTTAATATTTTCATTTCCATTTTAAGATTATGACATTTTAATC